ATCCATCCATCCATCCATCCATCCATCCATCCATCCATCCATCCATCCATCCATCCATCCATCCATCCATCCATCCATCCATCATTAATCCTTCCCTCGTCATTCATCCAACAATCATCAATCAGCATCCATCCATCATCCATACATCTAACCATAATCATGCTTGTCATTTCCAACACTTCACCACCAGCTCTGTCTAAATGGGTTCCTTGATGGTTTTGCCCACACTAATGAGCTGCAGAACCGGGTCAGAGCCGTGTTAGAGGCAGTTTAGGGTACCACCATGCTGCTCCTGTAGAGCGGTTAGACACTGACTGTTCAGTCAGAATAATAAAAAAATGGAGGAGAGGAGCCTGTTTTCTTTCTTTCTCAGACATTGAGCCCTGAGGAACCTCCCAGGAGTCGTAAGCAGATACATTCAGACCCCAGGTCTCTGTGCTGAGGTTGTGTGTTTCTGCGGTACCCACCCCATCCATGTCAAAGGTGAAGAAGACCTGTTCCACGTAGCTGTTGGCGTTCTCTGTGATACCCTTTAAGTTGAGGATGGCCTTCAACTCAAACAGCGTGATGAGGCCCGATGGAGACTCCTTCATGAACTTGTTGTACCAGTGGTGCATGTCCTCAGCCAGGATGTCATCCACGTTGGAGCCGTGGTTCCCCATGGCAGCAGGAGGACGGGGTCTCAGCAACAGGATGGAGGCTGCAGGCCTCCTCTCAGTCTGATGAGGAACGTCTGCAGGCTGAGGTTTGCAATCCTGATGGGACAAAGATCCTGGAAAAATCAGCAGAACCTCTGAGCTGAACCCGAACTGCTGTGTCTGCAGGCGCTGACTAAAAGTCAGGACTCTCTAACCCTCTTAGGTTCTGAAACAGGAATCAGCAAAGCACCTAAAATAACTCCTTAATGAGATGAGCCGCCGTGGTGACAGAGGCCGTGCCAGGACCTGCTGAGTTCCTCTGAGCAGAAGATCTGGCCCTGAATACAGGTTTGTTATATCATCAGCTGACCCGTTTCAGACCGAAGAGTTCCCCAGATCCGATCTAAAACTCTCCTGCAGCCTTTATGGCAATTCCTGATTTTAGATTCTTGGAAACATCCTGGAACTGTTTGGACTCCAGGTAAATTAGAGATCCATCAGATATTAAACACAGGCTAAAAATGTTCTGGTTCTGAACAGTTTCTCTAACATAATGACTTTTACCTCCTGATCCTTTCCAGAACCCTCAGCCAGGCCTTGGGGACCCTATCGGTCTGAAATATCCTTCCCTGTCCTAATTTTAGGCATTCTAAAAGGAAGAGAGAAACCAACAGGAGCATGAAGATAAAAAAATTAAAACACAATTCACAATCAGGGACTGGCTCATAGATTCAGAACTTCAGAGGGGATACTTTAAAGTTGTTACTCGTCAAAAATAACGAAAAAACAAAGAAGTTTTGATGTGAGCAGGAAAGTGAAAAAATACAGGATGTTTATGCATAAAAACAACAATGAACTATGTCGAAGAATGAAGAAAGATGCTGATACCAGATGTCTTAATTCACAGCATTAAAACAGATCGGAGGTATTGCTTGTATCAATTCATGTTTGCAGACATAGAAGCAGCCGAGTTTCATCTGCTGCTCAATGGAGCCGTGATCATCGTCAATAAAGGACCAGTAATAGGCTTAACCCTGGTAAACCATTTAAACTCATAAAGCTTCACTAAAACACAGATAAACCTGCCAGACTGGTGGGAGGTTAAAGTAAGTACACCTTCCCCCACCCACCCCGGGTCCGTTAGCTGACAGAACAGCTGGAAGATCGGTTCTTCTTGGAGGATTTTACAGAAACTTCCAGGCTGATGTGGGGAATTGTACAAAGAAAGTCAACCAGAGCTTGACAGGCACCATGGCATCATGTTGGGTGACTCCTCTACCGGTAGGATCCTCATCACTGTAAAACCAAGATGGTGGTAGGACTTAGGTCTGCAGAGCTGCATCTGGCTGAAGGGTGTTTCCTCTGTACAGATCCAACCAAAGCTGAGATGTTTGACCGAAATGATGGAACCATGTTAGGACACACCAAAAACAGCAAATCAGTTTGAACACTTTCATAGTTAAGCACAGTGGTGAAGGGATGAAAATCTGGGCCTGATGAAGACCCACCTGGAGTCAAACAGGTGGTTCTACATCAGGCCCAGATCAGTCGGCCTTGGCAGATGGCCGCTCATACCGAGTCTGGTTCTGCTGGAGGTTTCTTCTTGTTAATAAGGAGTTTTTCCTCTCCACTGTCGCCACAAGCATGCTTGGTGTAAGGGATTGCCTTTGAGTCAATGAGTCGATGCAATCAACTGGTTTTCCTTATATACTGTAGAAAACTTTGAATCAATTTGACTGTATGATCTGGTTGAATGGTAAAGTGCCTTGAGTTGACATGTGTTGTGAATTGGCGCTATGTAAATAAACTGGATTGAATTGAAACATGAAGTCCTCTGAAAACCACAGGGTTCTGCAACGGTTGATTGATGGAGACTCGATGGAGACGTATGGCAGCATATGCTTAAGCATTGGCCATAAGTTACAGGTAACGTATTTGTTCATTGACACATTTTAAGTGTAAGTTACTCATACTTTGTGGTGTCCAGCTTATCCAAAACCTATGAGTAACTTGTGTGTAACTTATCAAGAACTTATGTCCAACACATAACAACGTATTTGACATGTTCCAGTCGACCACTGAATGTGCTGCTAACATACAGCTACTGTATAATGGCGTATTGGCAGCGTTTTGGTATAAAAAGGGATTCACAGGAGGAAACTGTCAGTTCACCTAAAGACTTCATCCCCATCATATGGTGAGCAAGAAGGTGAGTGTGATGGATCCTCTCTGCATTTACGCCCACGGCCATGACCAACAAACGTCTTAGATGATGTGATGCTGAATCTGCTGCGACTGCAAAAATCCTTTCTTTTTTGGCGGGCTGTAAACACTAACTCGGTTAATACCGTGATCAAGGAATCTTTTTATGCAGGCTGA